CCCAGCGCACCAACACGGGGGCACCGATCCAGGACCAACCCAGGACCAACCCAGAACCAGTCCAGGACCAATCCAGAACCAATCCTGAACACACCCAGCACACCAACACGGGGGCACCGATCCAGGACCAACCCAGACCCGATCCAGGACCAACCCAGACCCGATCCAGGACCAACCCAGACCCGATCCAGGACCAACCCAGACCCGATCCAGGACCAACCCAGAACACACCCAGCGCACCAACACGGGGGCACCGACCCAGAGCCGACCCAGGACCGATCCAGGACCGACCCAGAACCAATCCAGAACACATCCAGGGCACCAACACGGGGTCACGGCCCAGAACCAACCCAGGACCGACCCAGAACCAATCCAGAACACATCCAGGGCACCAACACGGGGTCACGGCCCAGAACCAACCCAGGACCGATCCAGGACCAACCCAGAACACACCCAGGGCACCAACATGGGGGCACCGACCCAGAACCAACCCAGGACCGATCCAGGACCGATCCAGGACCAATCCAGAACCAATCCAGAACACACCCAGGGCACCAACACGGGGGCACCAACCCAGAACCAACCCAGGACCGACCCAGGACCGATCCAGGACCACCAACCCAGGACCAATCCACGACCAATCCAGGACCACCAACCCAGGACTGATCCTCAAGATACTGAGATCCACCTTGAGACCTCCTTGAGATCCACCTCAGAACCTTCATGTCTACCTTGAGATCCACCTTGAGACCTTGAGATCCAGTTTGATATCTCCCTTGAGATCCACCTTGAGATCCAACTCAATACCTTCATATCTACCTTGAGATCCACCTTGAGATCTACAATACCTTCAGATCCACCTTGAGATCCACCTCAATACCTTCAGATCCACCTTGAGATCCACCTTGAGATCCACCTTGAGATCCACCTTGACACCTTGAGATCCACCTTGATACCTTGAGATCCACCTCCATACCTTCAGATCCACCTTGATACCTTCACATTTACCTTGAGATCCACCTTGACACCCACCTTGAGACCTTCAGATCCACCTTGAGATCCACTTTGATACCTTCAGATCCACCTTGAGATTCACCTTGAGATCCACCTTGATACCTTGAGCTCCACCTTGAGACCTTCAGATCCACCTCGAGATCCACTTTGATACCTTCAGATCCACCTTGAGCTCCACCTCGATCCCCTCCCATCTACCTTGAGCTCCACCTTAAGATCTTGAGCTCCACCTTGGTACACCTTGAGATCTTACCCACCTCACTATCCACCCTGACACCTTCATCCCTCTCCTCTCCTCTCTCTCAACATCTCCAACTCCAGCTCCAGCTCCACTCCTGCCCTGACACCTTCATCCCTCTCCTCTCCTCTCTCTCAACATCTCCAACTCCAGCTCCAGCTCCACTCCTGCTGTCCCCAGGGTGTCCCCAGGGTGTCCCCAGGATGTCCCTCGTGCTGTCCCTCGTGCTGTCCCCAAGGTGTCCCCAAGGTGTCCCCAAGGTGTCCCCAGGATGCCTCCAGGGTGTCCCCCCTCCCCAACCCCGTGGAGGACCCACCATCCAGCCTGAGGTATTTGAAGCCGCGGTAGGCGAAATAATCCTCCATGATGGTCATGAGGGAGGTCATCTGGCAGAAGAGCAGCACTTTGTGGTTGGTGGCTCGGAGCTTGGGCAGGATCCGGTCCAGGAGCTCAAACTTCCCAGAGGCTCTGTACAAATCCAACCTGGGACGGGAAAAAATGGGATCAGCCCCAGGGAAATTGGGATTGGAGGTCATGGATGAGACATCTCCCCCTGCTTGGGTCATCTGCCACCTCAGAGACCTCCTGACGGTTCAACTCACCCCTGCACAATGCCTCCAGTGAAGCCCAAGTGCTCTGAGAAGGATTCCTGGAAGTGGGAAGAGAAAGAGTCAGGAGTGAGCCAAAATGGGCTGGACTTAACCTCGCTGGGTTTGGCTCAACCTCACTGGGTTTGGCTCAACCTCATTGGGTTTGTGGTTCAACCTCATTGGGTTTGGCTCAACATCATTGGGTTTGGCTCAACCTCGTTGAGTTTGGCTCAACCTCGCTGGGTTTGGCTCAACCTCACTGGGTTTGGCTCAACCTCATTGGGTTTGTGGTTCAACCTCATTGGGTTTGGCTCAACATCATTGGGTTTGGCTCAACCTCGTTGAGTTTGGCTCAACCTCGCTGGGTTTGGCTCAACCTCACTGGGTTTGGCTCAACCTCATTGGGTTTGTGGTTCAACCTCATTGGGTTTGGCTCAACATCATTGGGTTTGGCTCAACCTCGTTGAGTTTGGCTCAACCTCGCTGGGTTTGGCTCAACCTCACTGGGTTTGGCTCAACCTCATTGGGTTTGTGGTTCAACCTCATTGGGTTTGGCTCAACATCATTGGGTTTGGCTCAACCTCGTTGGGTTTGGCTCATCCCAGTTGGGTTTGGCTCATCTCAGTTGGGTTTGGCTCAACCTCGTTGAGTTTGGCTCAACCTTGTTGGGTTTGGCTCAACCTTGTTGGGTTTCACTCAACCTTGTTGAGTTTGTGGCTCAACCTTGTCCGGTTTGGCTCAACCTCGCTGGGTCTGGCTCAACCTCACTGGGTTTGGCTCAACCTCATTGGGTTTGTGGTTCAATCTCATTGGGTTTGGCTCAACATCGTTGGGTTTGGCTCAACCTCACTGGGTTTGGCTCAACTTCGTTGGGTTTGGCTCAACCTCGTTGAGTTTGGCTCAACCTTGTTGGGTTTGCCTCAATTCACTGGGTTTGGCTCAACCTCATTGGGTTTGTGGTTCAATCTCATTGGGTTTGGCTCGTCCCAGTTGGGTTTGGCTCATCCCAGTTGGGTTGAGCCCCATTGGGTTGGGTTGGGTTGGGTTGATCTCCATGGGCTTCATCTCCATGAGGTTCCTCCCAGTTTGGCCCCATTGGGTTGGGTTGGGTTGACCTCCATGGAGTTCCTCTCCATGGGCTTCACCTCCAGGAGGTTCCTCCCAGCTCCTGACCCCTCCCCAGTAGCTCCATCCCAGTTGTCCCACCTCGATGTGCTGGAACATGTAGGGATGGTTGCAGATCTTCCTCAGTTGCATGATGGTGTTCATCAAGGTCTTTGTTCCTCCTTTCCCCTACGGAAAAAAAACCGGAAAAATCTCAACTCCATGGATCAAACCACTTCTCCATCCTCATCCAACCACTCCAGGACCTCTTGGAATCATCAGCTTGGACACATCAACTCCCCTGGTGTCAACCATGGGGTGAAGATATCCAACCTGAAAGTTCAGAGTGGGAAACAGGTGGAAAATTGGGAATTTTCCAGCTCCAGTTTGAGTTGGGATCCAAAAATCTCATTCCCATCATTCCATGGAGATATTTCCCCATATTTGGAGGTCCCAAAGGTTTTGAGGAGCCACTTGGTACCTCCAGAAGCTCTTGAGATGCTCCTCAAGGATGTCCTCAAGGGCTCAAGGTCCTCCCAAAGAGTTTCTCCACCCAAAGTAGGACAAGATCCAAACCCACCAGGATCTTCCCAAACCAAATTCCAAGATCCAAACCTTCTTGTCCTTCTCGGAGCCGTCGGTGAGGAGGACACCCTTGGCCTGCATGTGCCGGTACAGGACCCTCTGGAGAGCCGACATGTCACACTTGATGACGTACTCCACCTGCAGGACCCAAAGGAGCTCAACCCCACGGAGATCCCACCAAGGCTGGAGGGCCTGGAGCCACCAGAACCTCCGGAGATCCCGAAATTCCCAAAATTCTCAACCCAACCATCTCCTCAACCCAACCCAACCATGATCCCAGAGCAGCATGGACCTCAAACCCCAGGACAGAAGGTCCTGGAGCAACCAGAACCTCCTGAGATCCCGAAATTCCCAGAATTCTCAACCCAACCATCTCCTCAACCCAACCCAGACATGATCCCAGAGCAGCATGGACACAAAACTCCAAGGACTGAAGGTCCTGGAGCAACCAGAACCTCCTGAGATCCCAAAATTCCCAAAATTCTCAACCCAACCATCTCCTCAACCCAATCCAGACATGATCCCAGAGCAGGATGGAGCTCCATGAGCTCATCCCATGGTGGAGCAGGTCCCGGAGGAGCCTCCAGTGTCACCTTCTCAGGGAGTTGTGCCTCCACTTCCTTCTTGAGCCGCCGCAGCAGGAAGGGCCTGAGGACCTTGTGGAGGCGTCGGATGATCAGAATTGTCTCCTCCTCGTTCAGGTCCACCTGGAGGACATGGAAGGGCAATGGTCAATGGGGGAAGGGGATGGAGAAACCTCCAACCCATCCAGATCCATCAATGGGGACCCCAAACCATCTCCAACCCTCAAATATTGACCCCAAACCATCTCCAACCCTCAAATATTGACCCCAAACCATCTCCAACCCTCAAATATTGACCCCAAACCATCTCCAACCCTCAAATATTGACCCCAAACCATCTCCAACCCTCAAATATTGACCCCAAACCATCTCCAACCCTCAAATATTGACCCCAAACCATCTCCAACCCTCAAATATTGACCCCAAACCATCTCCAACCCTCAAATATTGACCCCAAACCATCTCCAACCCTCAAATATTGACCCCAAACCATCTCCAACCCATCCAGATCCATCAATGGTCACCCCAAACCATCTCCAACCCTCATATATTGACCCCAAACCATCTCCAAACCCTCCAGATCCATCAATGGTCACCCCAAACCATCTCCAACCCTTCCAGCCCCACCACCGTCCCACCCCAGCCCGGACCTTCTCGCCGGTCATGGCGAAGGGCGCGTTGAACCACTGCTCGAAGGTGCTGCAGCTCTTGAAGATGGTTGGCAGGAGGAAGTTGAGGAGGGCCCAAAGCTCAGGGAGTTTATTTTGGAGCGGTGTCCCCGTCAGGAGAAGTCTTCTCGGGGCCACATAATGAGTGTTGAGCACCTGAGTCAGTTTGCAGTGATGGTTCTTCATCCGGTGACCTTCGTCCACGATCATGTACTTCCAACGGATCTGGGAAACATGGAAAAGGGAAGGAGAAACCAGAACCATCTCCAGGAGGTCCATGGGGGTGGTGGATTCCCAAACTTCTTGGGATCTGGACACACCTGGAGCATCCCAAACCCCTGGAGGTGTCCAGGAGGTCCATGGGGGTGGTGGATTCCCAAAATTCTCGGGATCTGGACACACCTGGAGCATCCCAGACCCCTGGAGATGTCCAGGAGGTCCATGAGGACCAAGATTCAACTCCATCTAGAACTTCCCAACCATCTCCAAGATATCCAGAAGATCCTTCCAAACTCCACCTGGACCTGTTTCTCCTAAAAATCCCATTTTCCATGGAACCCTCATTTTCCACGGAATTCTGCGGGAGAACCAACTCAACCCACGCCCAAATCCAAGAGATCCACCAAGAACTCGGCACCACCGGGAGGAGAAATTGCTCCTCAGCTTCGGCAGCAGCTACAGGCAGGAAAACCTGAGGATTTCTGGGAAATTCTTGGGCATTTTTGGGGGGTGCCCTGACCCTCCGTGCCCCCCAGCCTCATTTTTTGGGATTTTGGGGGGTTTTGGGGGATTTTTGGGGGTGCCCTGACCCCCCAGACCCATTTTTTGGGGGTGCCCTGACCTGGACATCAACGAATTTTGCGTTCTTGGGAATTCCTGGGAATTCCATGGGGAATGTGATAATTCCAAACCTGGATTTCTCCAGGATTGGGATTGGATCCTGAATCCCCATGAAGGATTCAGGGAATCCCAGGAATTCCAGAGGAAATTCCAGATAAACGAATGCAAAAAAATTCCAGAGAGAAAGAGAGAGGAACCAGAGCCAAGGAACTCCAGAGGGAATTCCAGAGCACCTGGAGCCAGAAAAGTTCCAAAAAAGTTGGGAATTCTCTCCTTACAGAATTCCCAACTGGAAAAATCCTCCTCACCTTGGCCAGGATGTGTTTGTCCTTGATGATGTATTCGTAGGTCGTGAGGAGAACGTTGAATTTTCCGCTCCGGAGTTGGGGAACAAACGCTCTTCGAGCAGCTGGAGAGCCCTGGAAGCAATTCCAAGAGGGAATTACACCTGGAATAGGATGTCCAGGCCAGGGAAAAGGGATGGAAAGAATGGAAAAGTCATGGGAAGGAGAAAGGAGAAGGTTTGGGATAATCCTGGAGGTTTGGAGGGGAGAAAGAGTTGAGGATAATTGAGGGGGCAAAAAAGGAATGGATTCCTTGGGATTGGGATGGATTCCTTGGGATGGGATGGATTCCTTGGGATGGGATGGATTCCCTGGGATGGGATGGATTCTTTGGGATGGGATGGATTCCTTGGGACGGATTCCTTGGGATGGGATGGATCCTTGGGATGGAAAGGAAGGAGGAACTGGAGATTGAATCCAAGGAAAACCTTGGAATGTGGCACTTGCCTTGTAGGAGACCTTGACCACGGACGGAGCCCATTTGTCGAACTCGTAGGCCCAATTGGACAAAGTCCTGAAGGAAAAGAGGGAAAACTTGGGAATGTGACTCTGGAATAGCATCCAGGGGAGTTTAGGAACTCAATCCCAACTTTTCTCTCCTTCCTATCCCATTTTCCCTCATTCCCAGATCCCCTAGACCCTCATTCCCTCGGATTTCCCAACTTTTCTCCCCTTCCCATCCCATTTTTCCCCTTTCCCAGATTCTCCAGATGCTCATTCCCTCAGATTTCCCAACTTTTCTCCCCTTCCCATCCCATTTTTCCCCTTTCCCAGATTCTCCAGATGCTCATTCTCATGGATTTCCCAACTTTTCTCCCCTTCCCATCCCATTTTTCCCCTTTCCCAGATCTCCCAGATGCTCATTCTCTTGGATTTCCCAGCTTTTCTCCCCTTCCCATCCCATTTTCCCTCATTCTCAGCTCCCCCAGACCCTCATTCCCTTGGATTTCCCACTTTTCTCCCCTCCCCATCCCATTTCCCCCCTCAATCCGCTCCGTGCCGCGGATTCCCGGCATTCCGGCGGTTCCCGGGACGCACGAGAGGGGCACGATGATGAGGAAGGGGCCGTTGATGCGTTTGTGCTCCATCAGGTACGTGATCAGGGCGATGGTTTGGATGGTTTTGCCCAGTCCCATCTCATCCGCCAGGATTCCGTTCAGGTTGTTGTTGTAGAGGGCCCCCAGCCACTCCAGGCCCTTAATCTGTGGGATGGCACCAGGAGCAGCTTGGGATGTCATTCCCATCTCCCTCTCCCCATTCCCGCGTTCCCAGCCCCGTTGCCGCCATTCCCAGTATTCCCAGACCTGGTACTGTTTGAGGACTCCGTTGACCATCAGCGCCGACTGTTTGTCCACTCTCTCGGTCACAGCGTGAGCGACGGCGTAATACGACTGCAGCCCTCGAGCCAAGGCTTGCGACACTCCGTACTCATCGTCCACGTCCTGTTTGGCGTTCCTGCCCGGAAAACTCCCGCTCAGGAAGGGGGAAAAAGGGGGAAAAGGGGGGAAGGAGGGGGAAACAGGGAAAAGGGGAAAGGGGAAAAGGGGGAAAGGGGGAAA